TTTTCGTCGATGTTTTTTTTTTTTTTGTGTGTGTGTGATCCGATGGACCACAGATCAGATATTTAACTCATCAGAACAGATACTACACTTGATCTTAGCCAAAAGGCCGCGACATTTTTTCAACTTTTTTGTTTTTCTATTTTCTTGTTGTTGTTTTTTTCCGCCCCTTTTTGTGGGAATACCGGTGGTCCAAAGGTGGGTACCCCGCCCGACGCGGCGCATTAAACGGCGGCGTCGGCTTTTTCCAATCACTTTGATAGTTTCAATCTGGGCGAGGTACTGGTGGTTTAATGAGCCAGGCCCCGCAGGCAACAATCATTCCTCCCTACCATTCGTATGAGCAGTTGAGAACTCATTGTCGCCACATGTGGCGATGATGTCCTGGAAAGCATGATGTTGTTTTGCCACACTGCTTCATCAAGGAAACAAGAACAGCATATTACCAAACATGCTTCTGATTATTGGTACAATTTTGAAGTCGATTTTGCTTGAAACTAGATGCTACGGATATGTACTATTTATTGATTGTGCATCCGATTTTTTAGGACCTGTTAACTTCCCTTACAAAGGGATTTGCTGCATCTACATCTCGCGTAGGCGCAAGGAATAACCCTTCCCCTCGCGACCTAAACCTTGTATTATAGGCAATAAATGCGTGAGGACAATTGGCACCACCACCAGGTGAACTGCAGAGGCCTGGGGTGATCTTCTTTCGAAGATTTGTAAACATCCAGTCCAGCAAGTTTCTCTCAATTCTCTTTAATTCTAGGTTACCTGATCGGACGTCCGGGACCCCCCTGGCCGTCCGGGGTTGTCCGCTCCGACAACCCGTCGGACATCCTCCCTGGGCAGTCCGTCCAAGTCCGAACACCCAAAAAAAAAAAAAAAAAAAAGTACTCAAAAAAATGATAAAAATCTGAAAAAAAAAACTATGTTATGCAGAAAAATAAACTCAACTACTTTTGCCTTGGAATGATATCGAAAAAAAAAACTATGTTATGCAGAAAAATAAACTCAACTACTTTTTCCTTGGAATGATATCGAAATTCGCTGTCAAATTAAACTAAAAAATAAAATAAAAGACACCCCCGATTTGTTTTCCTTTTATTCGTCCTTTTAATTGCTAACAAATGGAGTTGTCCGGGACCCCCTTGACTTTCCGCCCAGGACGTCCGCCCAAGACGTCCTGCCATCGGACAGCTGGTAACATAGCTTTAATTGGGTTTCCCTCTCGATGAGGTGGTTTTGCCTCTCGAGGAGGTGCCAGGAATAGGTTGCATCCAGCAACCCATCAGATTCTGTGATTCTGCTGAGTTTGGTTGAAACGCAGCGGTCCTCGAAGACCAATGCTGGAGCAACGCCGGCCGGAGTCGGAGCGAGGTGGCGCAACTCTGTCACCTAGCCTAAAGGGGGCGTGAGGCCTGGAAGAGATCTGGGAGGCTGCTTGTGTGGGCATTCTCAGCAGTCATCAGGGTCGGAGCTGGCGCAATGCGGGCCGGAGGCTGGAGCAAGGTGGTGCAACTCTGTAACCTAGCCTGATGAGAGCATGAGGCCTGGTAGAGATCAGGCTTTTCGCTGTAAATGGCCATGTCGGCATGTTCATAGAGGGGATTGTATGAGTTTCCATCTATTTGTTTCACGGTCGAGAGGACGTTCGGTACATTTTTGTTGTTTAACAAAAAAAAAATAATAAAAATCAGAAACGCTCGCACTATGCTGCATGACTAAATGAACGCTCTCTGCGTATTTTGATCCTGACATACTTGCACGCGCCATCCCATAGATATGGACAGCTGTTTACCATCCCATCTACCGTTTTGGCGTAAACCTTTCTTCCTGTATCAATGTGAGTCAATCGCTTCCACTGTTTGTAATGATCCCGTCTCGTAGGTATACGTCATATATGGTTTGTTTTGCGTAGTTTTGTTTTATTTCTGTTTCACGTAAGTTTTTGTGTGTGTAATCTCTATCAGTACGAAGCCTGCTCTATGGCTTCATTTATTAACTGGTGTATGCGCTGGCCTGGGACCCTAGGTAGTAACTTTGGCTCCCCTTGTGCCAGGATTTGTCGACTGAAATAGTAACCATGGCTCCCCTTGTGCGGGGATTTGTCGATTGAAATGCTGTGTCTGTCCAACTTGAACATATGAAGGATGCACCAATATAGTATTTTGGAGCTTTGATGACATGGGTTCCGTATCATCCCGTGCCTCGTCATGATGATGCGCCTTCACGCACACACACACACACACACACACACACACACACACACACACACACAAGTAGGCATGCACACTTTTCTTTTTACGGGCCTATCAATTTGGTCGGTCAATCCACCACTCAATCAATCAATCCAGTGAATCCACCAATATCAATAACCCAATCAATCTATCTGTTTTTTCTTGCTCCCCCCACTGCATAACCCTTTCCCCACCAAAAAAAAAAAAAAAAACAGACTTCTTTTCCCTTTTCAGCCAGGGGTGGGGCCTGCATTCCACAGCCTTTTCCCGAGGTCCACCTCGGGGACATCATTCCTAGACCCCTTTTGGAGGTTGACCTGGGGCATGACCGGGCGAGTAATCCAGAGTGTCGGCTGACCGGAGCTGGTGACGGCCTGTGACTGGCCCAGACCCAGTCTATCACGAGTACAGAGCCGACCATCCCTTCAGCCACCACAATCGAGGTTTTTTTTCACTTTGCTCTTCTCCACGCACCATGCCTACTGTGTTTACGCTAACTGTGGTTAATATGATTCTAACCCTATCACATGCCACTGCATCAGCTAGGAATCGGTCCCCTGGTCATGACAACGTGCTGGTCAAAGAAACTGAAAAAGAGAGAAACAAAGAGAGTAAAGTAAACACTCCATGGCAACCACCCCAGCTAGTACAAGACGTGTGCCGAACACGCCACCGTGGCTGCACACCCCACACGAAGCACAAGTACATATCCTAGCAAGGGTTTGTGCTCGGGGTTTCGAGGGTCTGGGTGCGGGGTGGCAGGGTTGCCGAGCGCTGGGCTGTGGGGTTGCAGGGGTTCCGTTGCTGGGTGAGGGCTTGCCGGTCAGCCGGGTTGCGGGTGCAGGGCTGCAGGGTGTGAGGTTGCGGAGGTCAGGGGTCAGGGGTCGGGGGTCAGGGGTCGGGGGTCATGGTTCCGGGGCACGGGCGTGGGGGGCCCAGTTGCAGGTCCGGCTCGGGGGTCTACAGCGGAGGATGGGACCAGGTTCGCGGCACGGTTCGCGGGGCCAGGTTTTTGGCGTGGGTGGGTGCAACATACAGGGCCAGTGACGAGGGTGGGAAAGGTGTGACAGTGGGAGTCGGCTGTAAGGATTAGGACTTGGGGGCAGGGGCACGGCCGGGAGACGGCTGCGGGGGTGGGGCAGAAAAGCATGTGGGCCCGGGGGTGAGGAGGTGCCAGTAGTGGGGATGATGACTGCAGGGTGGGGTGCTGCACCTGGACTGGATGGTGGTCAGGTTGGGGCAATCTTTTCTGCCCAATTGAGAGCCCCACCAAAAAGAAAATGATTCCGTCCATTTCCCAGCACGGGGATGGGAGGGAACCAAATGTTTCAGGTTGCTTCCGGACTCAGGTAACGCCCACCCCCGGACCTCACCCCTGCACGGAGGTACTCCACCTCCATGTGGGTGTCCGGGGTCACGAGCCCAACCTCCGCAGGGCCCCGGTGGACAACACTGGTGACTCAGATCATGACAAATCTCCTTTTTTCCTTCCTTCAGTAATCACGGGTCTTGTCCCCTGAGGAGCAGTGGATTGAGAGCCTGGCCCCTCTGCTGTTGATGTTCACAGAATGAAAGCATGGCTGTTATTATGACCCAGTTCATGCCTCGAAGTTACAAATATAGCACCAGAAGGGCCTGCCCCTGCCTGACCACGACTAGAGAACAGCCAGCCCGTCAGCACAGGGCACGAAAAAAGAACGGGGGCAAAAAGTGAGAAGTAACCAACATAGTACACATACCCATACGGCTAAATACTTCGACGTCGTTTACGAGCAACATAGCCACGTTTGACAAAGACTTGCTAGTAAAGAGGTCACCGGTTTGAACATTGATGAGATCAAATGAACTCAATAGGGGTGTAGCCCCCTTCAGAAGACAAAATAACTAGAGTACTTTTTTCACCACAGAAACTGAGCAACCATCAAGATGAGAACACATGGGCCTTGCTCCGCCACTCGGGTCATGCACAAAAGACAAAAAATATGGCGGTGTATCTTTCCATGTTCTTGCGGAAGATTCATTCTCATTTTGCACATTTCGTGCGTAGTGGAGCCACGCCCTAAGCAAACACACCATCAAAAACACGGGAAAACCTAAGTGAAGAAAAAAAGAAAAAAACAGTTCTTGTGAGACTTGCTGCCACAGTCAAACAACCGCCAAGATCAGAAAAGCCAGACAAGGAGAAAAACCCGTCGAAAATTAAAAGGGTGGGGGAGGGGAGGGGGGGGGGAGGAAGAAAAGTAAGCATTGAAGGAAAAAAATTGCTTCAAGATTCACCGTTTCCGTGACTTCCGTCAAGAAGCAGAAACCTGCGTGGATAGACTCTGAGGCAAGTATAGGAAAAAAGGACAAAAGAGCAAAGGACTGGGTTAGAAAGGACCGTGCACATTATAGCTCTTTCCCTCAAGGAAGATCGTACATAATTCCGCGTGTCAGCACTCGAATAGAATGCCGGGTCATTATCGCTGTATACCGACTGAGAGTCGCCCCGAACACAGGTATAATGACCAGGCGTTCTACTCGGGTTAAGACGGTAGATTTTTCTCCACTTGTCACTGAGTTGTCCACACCTTTCACAAACCATGTGCCAACCATTGCACAGATGCTCAGACAGAGGAATAGACTGGCGCAGGACCACAACTCTACAGCAGCAGGGGCTATACATTCCTATGCACAAGGACATTTCTCACTCTTCCCCATCTCCTTCTCCTTCTCCTTCTCCTTCTTCATCTCCTTCTCGATCTCCTCCACTTACTATACCTTCCATCATATCATTGAACCGTGGACGAAGGAAAAGATCGGCAACGGATCACGACTCAAAAGCTGCAGCTGCTGAACGTTCAGGTCGGCAAGGAAGCACAACTGCAAACCCGCCCACTCCTTCAGTCATTGGACACTGTGGAGGTCACCAGCTGTATAGTCACGTGAGTCGCCAGCTGTATAGTCAGATAAGTCGCCAGCTGTATAGTTACCTAGGTCATCAGCTGTATAGTCATATAAGTCGCTTGGTATATGGTCATCGACAGCACCAACGCATTAGCAAAAACCGCATCATACAACCTCGCAACGACTTTCCTAGATGCATCGGACTGCAGTCACAAACTGATGGAAACTAGGAAATCCGTGTGTGTCTACACACACCCTAAGCCGACTGGAGATCGCCAACCTCAACCAACCTGCAGACATCACCTTGAAGTATACTTGGTATCATAGTTGCTGCTCATAGATTTGCATGTATGCCTCTGACAGCGCGACCATCTGGGGCAATGTCTCAGAGACATGGAGGTCTTGCATTTCGTACCTGTGAAACACAAACATGCACGTAAATCAAAGCCGGCCGAGGTCAAGGGTCTCGCCGCTTTTTTAGCCTTTTATCAATTAACGGCAGTATTGCCGCACTAATAAGTACATTTCAGGAGGTACTGCATTTCATTGTCATGCAACACCCCACATATTATGCTTGGTTCTCTAAAGAAGAAATTGTCACCATAGAATAATTAGAGAGACTCTCTCTCTCTCTCTCTCTCCCTCTCTCTCTCTCTCTCTCTCTCTCTCTCTCTCTCTCTCTCTC